TTGGTTATTAGTGACATGTGACATTGAGAAAACTACAACAGGGCTAAACATGATTGTCGTCACTTTTTCTGTGCATTAATTTGCTAAAATATCATATCATGCCATACCCAACTACACAAACTACAACACAACTGTACATGAATATGCAAGTTGTCTGCCCTTATTTTATCCAGCCTTGCTTGCCTTACCTCCAGCTGTTTCAAAGCCCATTCACTGCCGTCTTTCTCCAAGTTTTCAAATATTTCTTCTAAAGTGTTTCCGCCGAACAGTCTATCAATTTTCTCTAAGTGAGGTTTCAAGCTGAATTCTTTATCTGCATCCAACGTACACTGTGAAAATTATAGAAATTAATAGACCATTTTCCGTTCACTGCGAGAATCATGCGTTATGCGTGAAATCGAACATAAAAACAGGACAAACAAAGGTCATAGCGTCGTAGTGGCATCAAACATCGCGTGGGATTCGACAAACGCGAAAGTATTTTGGGGGACATTTCCATGCTTAACAATGTGCTGTACACATTTGATGATAGGCAATTTCGATTAGGTGACGGTATTCGGAAGCAATATTCCTCTGTCGAAGATCGGCCGGTCGATGTGAGCTACGAAATAAAGAAATTCTAGTTCAAAATCAAATCGTTCGATTTTTGCGGCAGACGTTCGATGTGCATCTTTCATGCATCTCGCGAGATCTTGAATGTTGTATTCAACTTTGACAAAAAAATTCCAATTTTTTTCAAATATTTTATTAAAAGTCTTTATCAGGCTTCTTAGCCTATTCTTTGCAGAATTTATTTATGTTTATTTATTTACTAATATGAGACATATTTAGGTAGATTACTCTACACAATTTATATATTTAACAGTTTTGAAACAGGCTAAGCTAGCGAGTTAAAAGCTAGCTAAATGTTATGTTATACCCTGGTTATATTGTACTGACCTCAGCAACAATTCCTTCCTGGAGGGTCATTAAAAATTAATATTGACAGACACCAAGATAACTATGTTTTTGATACCAACAAAATAAACACAACACATGCAATAACTACTTGAACTGGGCATTTATTTATTTATTTGTTTTGTTACTGTAAACACTATTGATATACATCTGTCATCATAACTCCTAAAGTTACAGCATGCCGTAATTTTGCAGAATTTGATGGGGTATTTTCATCCTACCATATTAGGAAATGCGAATTCCAAATAAGGAATGATTAAGCAACTAAAGCATAATAAAAACAAATATGGCTGCCACCAGGGTTTGACCGGACTCCACACAAAGAAGTTCGCTGATTCTGTTCTAAACTTTTTGGATTTCGGTATCCATGATGTATCCTTGAGGAAAAGATGTATAATAATAAGGTTATTACGAGGATATTTCATATGCACTCAGACAGTATGTGTCACATCGACCTTCGCTGCGTGACGGACGATACTCCCACTACATTGTCTTTGTGCATACTTTGAGGTATCCTTGTAATAACCTTATATTAATTATTATTATACATCTGCCACTGTAAAGTTTTACGATATTGCACTGGGTATATTAGGAAATGCGAATTTCAAATATAAAATGATTATGTGCTGTGCATTAGCGTCCTCTAATAATAAAAAAAAAACAATAACAGCCCCTTTGCTACTTTTCTTTTTCACGAAAAAGGCATGAAAGTTTTTAGATTTCTGCATTCCCATGATGTATCATTGAGATTAAAGATAATAATGTTATTGTGAGGATACTGCAAAGTATGAACTCAGACAGTAAACCATCACATCGATCTCAGCTGCCTGTCGGCCGATGTCTTCATGCATCCTTTGCGGTGTCCTCGTAATAACATTATATGAATACAAATGCACATGTGAAATAAAAAAACGAATGCCATTATTCATTGAAATTGAAAGAAAAACATTTATGGATGCCTATATGTGTCTTGAAGCAAATTCTAAAGTGTACTTGTGCACTTAAAATACAGTCTGAGCATTACAATTAGCTAGCTTTGTGCTGGCTATCAGTTTGGCTAGTTTGCTTTAAAAACTACCACATATCTAAATTGTGCAGGATAATCTGCAACAATATGTCTCATATTTGTAACTGTGGTGAACGCCATGAAGAAGAATTTGAAATTATTTCCACATGGGCTGTACTGTATAACCTCACAGGATATTTAGCTCTGTATGCATTGCAAAAACATTAGTCACCAACAAGAAATATAAGCACATCTACCTTGTTATGATAACTATCCAGTACATCTAATACTTTATTTTCATTTGCATTTTCTAAATTAATTAAAGATTTCTCCAAGTCACCAAGCTGAAAAGAAAATTTTAGAAAATAGTTATAATTGTTATGAAGCAACAAATAAAGATTAAAACCTTAAAAGTATAAATAAAATCAAAAGAACTGCCTTGTGCTGAAGATATTGAAGGCATGAAGTTAGAACATGTGCTTCTATCAGAGCAAAATACAGCATTTAAAAATATAACTGTAAGCAATTATCAGAGTGTTTCAAAGTAACTATGGTTTAATAATTAAATAAATATTTAATGAAATAATGACCATATATGGTGACTTGATATTTTGGTCATATATCTTGTCATATTACAATTATACATATTAATTAATTATTGAAGTTACATGGCCATATATAATCATCTGAAATAATAATCTTATCACATTGATTTCAACCAAAAACTAATCAGGATTGCACATTATCCCAAAATCTAAGTATTCATTGAAATTTGTTGAATGGTACTTGAGAAACAAATTAAAGTTGGTCAATAATACTCCAGGATTTCAATCAAAAACAATGTGCAATATCGCAGGTCATCTGCGTTCATTGAAATATGTTGAATAATGCATGAGAAACAAATAAAAATGCTTGAAGTTTCTAATTAATATGCTAATTAGTTTATTAATATGCACCAGAACATCTATGTACCAACTGTCATCAAAATCCAATTATCAGTTCTGATATCAGTGGAACAGATGGACAGACACACACACATAGAGACACACTAACTGTGAAGACTCTCATTTGCACATGGGAGACAAAAAATAATTGTTTCTGGTTATTTCTTGTATCAGGTTGTAATTTACTGGTCACAACTTTTATATACAAGCTGCTCTCTGATTGGTCTGAATATTAGGTGATAGGGCTGGATAGCCAATCAGACACAATCTTGTAAGTAGCTTTGATTTTAAAAATTATGACTTTAAGAATAAAGTCTCCTACCTGCTCAGTTTCCACAAAGTGTGTTGCCACGCCAGCCCTCTGGACATCTCTTCCTTTCAAACGAACACCAGTTAATGCTAAATATATTCCTAAATTTCCACCAAGACGAGACAAGAAATAACTACCACCTACGTCTGGGAAAAGACCAACAGCAGTTTCAGGCATGGCAAATAATGTACGTTGTGTAGCAACACGAAAGTGTCCATGAACCGATAAACCGACACCCTGATAACAAAAATAAATTAAGAATATGAATATGCAGTTGCAGAATCTTTCATTTGACATCACAAAGCCGCCATTTTAAGATGTTCCATATTTACAGTACGGTCCGACTGTAACCTAACTTCTAACTTGCTTTAAGGTAGAAGCCTACTCATAATTTTTCATTCATGTTCATTGGTTTATTATGTAAAATCATGAAGCTAATGTCTCGGTCACCCTCTTGAAAAAAATATTGCCCCTTTAAACTAAAGCTGAAAAAAACCTTTGTGTCAGCAAAATTTGCACCTCAAAAATGCAGGAAATAGCATTTGAGAGGGTCTAGATTTTTTTTTTTTTTATTTCTTAGAAGATAACTAGATAAATACATAAGGATATGGATTTTTAAAGGGGAGCATGTCGCTGGACCCCCTAGTAAAGTTGCACCTTCAACGCAGATCTCGCAAAATTCCGTGGCGCCACCTCTGCATAATATAGTAATTTTGTGTGTGTTATAATGACGTGTTTTGAGAATCCTGCATGAATATTTTTCAAAAATCAACAATTTCTTGGAGCACAATGTTAAAGAAAAATTAAATTTTTGAAACTTTTTAAGACCCATCATTCAAAATATATAATTTTTTCAGCCTAGATCACCAAGTTACAATTCGAGATATGGCATAATAAAGCCATAGAAACCTATCGATTAACAGGTGACCCACAACTTTTAACTCTGGAGTGCAATTTATTGCAAAATGAATAAACTGTGAGTGTCTTGAGACCTGATTAAATTTATATTCAGATTCTACAATTAATTTTTTATTTGTGTTCAGGGGGAAATATCTAACATATTTGCAACAAAAATTTGCATTGGTTATCAATCAAATATGTTGTAGTTAACCCACATCAAACAGGGGCAGTTTTGATAGCTATAACCTCCATACTTACCCCACCCATAGTAATACCATTTATCAAGGCTACATAGGGTATTCTAAGAGTTCCTATGGCATGGTTTAAAATGTATTCTTCTTTAAAAAAATTATGACCATGTGGTTCGCCAGCTCTAGCTGCATCTGTAATTGCTGTAATTGTCATCAGAACATTGTCAGAAGAAGGAATTGTTAATTAAATCCTTTGAATGCTAAAGTCAACTTTTAGTTGCAAAATAAAACCAAAAAAAATTGTTTCACATTTTTTTTTTTTAATTTTTATCATGACTGTTTAAGAATTAGATCCATCTGGTCAAAATTCAGACTATACTGTAAAATCTGTATTAAAAGCTGCGGCTTCTATTGAAATGGTACAATGCAACAGAGGAGATGCGGCTTCTATTACTAATTTAGCTAGAGCATCTACATATATGAGGAATTTTGAATTTTGGTTCTCAGTTGTTTAAAAAGAATGGATGTGGCTTCTATTAGGGATGCGGCTTCTAATACAGATTTTATGGTAGACATTGTAGAAAAAAAACAGGCAAAATGTTAGTTGCATCAAACATTATTAAACAGTATACTGTAAAATACTATATTTTAGCTGGAATTAATTTTCGCTGAAAATAATTTTTCTATGATTTTAATGGAATTTATTTTCATAAATTGTTTTAAAATTGTTGACAAGTTGAACGTAAAATATAGGAAAAAAGGTATATTCACTGAATTTTATATTTTACACATTCATTTCTTCAGTGTAAATAGCAAAAATTAGTTGCAAGTGAAAATAAAGTATTTTACAGTAGTCCAAACGTAAATTAACATTTACCGTACTTGACTGGCTTAGCGCCCATGCTTGGCTAAGCTCCCACCCCCACTTATGGGACATTTCTGTTTTTCGTTTCATGTTCGGCTAAGCACCCATCCCCTCCAAAATGCTGGCTGTTTAATCAATAAACCTAGTCTTTGATTATTGTTTGACTTCTGAATACTGGTATTCATACAATGAAGCATGTATATCGGCTGCCAGGAATATCGTGCGAATGCGTATACCACGGTAACTGTGTGTAAACAATGCTTCAACAATGACCTGTTAACAACCACGAAATGCAGTAAATAGTTCATTCTATATTTTGTTAACCTTTCAAAAATTACTTATTACCAGTTTTTTAAAAAAATCATGTTGTTTTTTTGGCCAAAAATCAATTCTAACAGCCATCCTTCAACGTTGAGAATACACTTCCGTATTATGTTACCAGAATGCCTTTGAGAATTCCCAGAGAATTACGCCGGTACAACACAGCATCCTGATTGGTTAATAACAGACTTGATCTATCAGGTCAAAGGGCATTGTTGCAGGTCAAATTGTACAAGAAAACATCATGGCGGGAAAATGCTTTGCATCAAGAGTTTGCATACTCTTGATTTTGGTGGTATGTAATTAATAATGTAATAAAATTTGAGTAATTTTTGTGACCATTCATGTTTCTTTAATATAAAAATAAAATCATTGACGATGCAATTTTTAATTTTATTTAACCGAAGGACATAACATTTCCCCCACAATCTGTCACATGGCGAACTAAAATTTGTCATTTGCTTTCTTTTTCAAGGGAGTGCTCGGTTAAACACCAACCACGTTAAAACACATGATTTTTCAGGTACCCTAGGCACTAAGTTGGACAAGTATGGTATAATGACTGTTTGGTACACAAACATTGGTAAGGCATATAGACTGATGTATACACTTATATCTAAGCTTTCAGAAGATGTATAGGTTGTTATAGTAGCATGTTTAGTAATTTTTAGAGAATTTCTGAATCAAAAATAAAATCTCCTTTGCTACCTTAAGGTTGAAAAATTGCTCCTCAAAAAAAGAAGTGCATTGTGGAACAATCATTAGGCTAGTAGCGAAAGAATTGTAGTTTAAATATTCTCGGGGCGGAGCTACATGTACGTCATAAGACATTCCACGTAGCTAAGACGCGTACCACTGTACCATGTATTTTTATGGGCTCTGCGCACACTGCCGTGGAACACCGAGTGAAGAGCCGGTGAAAATTCGGGAAAACAACACAAACTCAACTTTGAAGTAATCCTGAACAACCGAATTTATATATGTTGCACACGCAGGGGTAATCTTGTTACACTGTTCAGGGAAGTCTCAACAACCATCCCATAGTACCGTTTTCTGAGAGTTTTTGGCTTTTGTTTTCACCGCAAGGTTGCCATGCGATGAAAATGCCCGGATATCCGCCCCTGAGAATATGTAACCCGACTGGTATTATTCTATGTAGTGCGCCCTCTACCCTGGGACCCGGTATTAAGACCGGTCACACATACCTTTAATATCACCTCCCGCACAGAATGCTTTGTCTCCAGTTGCCTTGATGATCACCAGTGATGTACTACCATCAGACTCCCATTCCTAATGAACAATTAAAACACTGTCTTCAAAGAGTAAAAAACGTAAAAACTTATCTTAACTTGTACAGACTACACTACAGTTTTGGTGTAACTTAATTTCCAAGCTGGCTTTCTCTTTCATACAAACTTACAATTTTTAAGTATCATTAATCAATAATTTCAATTCTGTGTAGTAATTACCTAGTTTAGAATATGAGACATACTGTGAAGTACTTTATTTTAGCTGGAATTAATTTTCGCTGAAAAGGCATTTTGGGTGTTTTGTATGGAAATTATTTTCACTGATTTTTGACGAGTTGAATGTGGAATATAGGGAAAAAAGTATATTCGCTGGATTTTATTTTCACGGAATCATCCTTTCAGCGAAAATAGCGAAAATAAATTCCAAGCAAAAATAAAGTATTCTACAGTATTTAGGTAGATTACTGTGGTTTTGAAAAAAAAGCTAAATTTGCAGCTGAAACATTTATAACTCTAAGCCAACTAAATCAGGGGGGATTGGCACAAGAGGGGCCGTCCAATATACATGTAGGCAGAATAAACAAGCCATAGATATGAGTGGAATAGTATCTTCAAGTATTGTAATGGTGGACACTACATTTATTCATAGAGAGTATGTTTCGTACCAGTTTTATCATAATCTGACATCCATGTTTGGACATGTTAGAAACTGTTAATGTGCTCAAATATCTTCCTTATTTGGAAAATATGCGTCACATTATATATAACAAACGAAAACTTTTAGAAGCTATAGCACATGACAGAAATAGTCGCGTCACTAAACGAAGACATTTGGATAGAGCAAAAAGGGTTTTCGTAGCCATTTCAGGCAGTTATCTCTCATTCAATTATGATTACAAGCACAAAAATATGTAATATAATATGGTTAACACAAGATTACCAGAAAGTATGCACTCAGGCAGTATGGGAACACATCCGCCTTCATGCATACTTTACGGTATTCACGCAATAACCTAATATCATTCCACTTACACAATTGTCCTTTTATTTCCACTTACTTTGAGTTTGGGATATATTTTTCTAACCATGCTTAAATTCAAAGTGTTCAGCGCTTTTGGTCTATTCATTGTTATCACGGCAGTGTTCTTCACTTTCTCCAAGATGACGTCATCTTGACTTGCGGCAGATGACATACTTCGGACATGCTGTAACACAACCGACAAGCGTCGAAGTGGAGATCTGCAAGAATAAATTAATTGCTCTCAGACGTTTCGATTTTTATTTCGTCCCAAATAGTGTTGATTTATAGGCCATGAGCTGTTTTTCTTTTCTTTATTTTTTTGGCAATTTTATATTTTTTAATTCTCATAATTATTGTGCAGTAGAATGAAAATCACACACCGATCTTAGGTCTAATATTTCATTTTTTGAAATAAAATGAAGATACATGTACATCATCACCGGCCAAGGTTTTTTCATTCGGCCATCACCCAACCATTACTACATTGGCAAAGCCTATTCCGTGAGGGTGCATTAAAGTGCACCCTCTATGGCATTTATAACTTACCACCATTTTTTTTAAGCGAGAAGCCTACTCATGAATGCAAATACCCAGAATTTATTCATTTTGCAATAAATTGTACTCCGGGAAATATTATGATGTTGACCTCAAAAAAAGTTAGGGGTCACCACTCTAATTTTTGTGAAAATTATGGTTGTATTTTAGAGGATACTGTAAAATCTGTATTCGAAACCGCGGCTTCTATTAAAATGGTACAATGCAATAGAGGGGATGAGGCTTCTTTTAGAGCATCTACACATATGAGAAATCATGATTTTTTGCTTCTCAATTATTCAAAAAGAATGGGTGCGACTTCTTTTAGGGATGCGGCTTCTAATACAGATTTTACAGTAGTTGTCATTTTGTCAGTATTATAGTGCTTTTATCCTATGGTTCCTATGCACCATCTCAAATTGTAGGCTTGTATCACATATTGTAAATGATAGAGTACTATATTAAACTATATGAAACTATATATATGAAATTATTTCAATAATCTGGGTTTTGAAAAGTGCAAATTTTTCTTTCTACAATGTGTTCTGTGGAATTGTTTTTTAAGAAGCTATTTTTAATAAATACATCAATTAAAACAAGTTTCTCAAAACACAATACTGTAACACACATTAAAATGCTAATCAATGGGACAAAAGCTTCATAGTTTTACATCATAAACCAATTAATGAACATGTGGTTTGTGACCTACTTTCTCAAATATTGGGAGCAGGCATCTACCTTAAGTACTTAAATCTTTTACCATAAACACGCAAAGCTTTGAGTGCAGTATAGTTAGATTCAGACAAAATAATCTGGGTTTTGAAAAGAGCAAGTTTTCTTTCAATGTTGTGTTCTGTAGAATTGTTATTAAAGTAAATATTTTTAATAAATACATGATTTAAAACAAGTTTCTCAAAACACAACACTGTAACACAGTCTAAAATGCTATGCGATGGGACAAAAGCTTCATAATTTAAAATAATAAACCAATGAACATTGTCATGTGGTTTATGACCTACTTTCTCAAATATTGGGAGCATCTACCTTAAGTACTTAAGCCTTTTACTATAATCACGCATAGCTTTGAGTGCAGTATAACCTGGTAGTTAGATTTAGACAAAATCCTGTTCGTGCTGGGTTTTTTTTTATCAATTTTGTATTAACTAATTTAAATAAATATTTCGCATTACACTGTATGGAATAAGGGTTAAAACATGACTCAATTCATAAATAAAACTTCTAGAACTTCTAGATATTTAGACCCTGTATATGTTCATTGAGTTATTTTTACGTTTACTGATTATTTAAATAGTAGGGCTGGCATTTACGAAAATAATATTAGATGTTTTATGGTCAACAAATGTATTTAAATTATTTGGCATATAACAATGTGATTTATTATGGTGAACCTCACAAGATTCATGTACAAAGAAAAACCAAATCATAGAACAACATTTTTATCGCAGCCACGCGAGAATTCCGGACTGTATAAGAACAATTACTCGCATAGTGCCCTATAAAAAATCAGCTTTTTTTTAAAATAAGACTACCAGTATAAAATATTTTTTTATAAAATATTTATGCTAAAATATTTCATGGCAACAGAGGGCGCTATGTAGTGGCAATATAAGTGTAAAATAAATATTTGCCCACAATTTGTTTTTTTCTTTTTTTTTTTTTTTGTGCACACTGACTAAAAACCTACTTTTAATTAGGTTATTATACATCCACAAATTAATGCATTGTGTTTCAGGGCATTTGACATTATGAAGTCTATAATGGAGTATGGTATTTTAGGTGAATATGGTTTATCGAATGGTGGGGCAACATCGGGTAGCGGGTTAGTCGGGACGAACTGATCGTCTGTCCATATTACAATACTAAGCCACCGACACAGCCGCAGGAAGGTTCTCTGAATAAAATAAGCTACGCAAGCTGAAGTAAAAAAAAATGCGTAAAGGGGGTGTTATTTAGTTATTTGACACGGGTACCGTACCATGTTTAGGATCGAATATTTTAAAATTTATAAATAAAGCGTGAAAAAGGGAATCTCATGTTACCTCAACTTGGAAACAGTATGATTTTAGTTTGTATTTTAGTATCTATTTTAAGTTTCTGCACTTGGAAAGGGGTATAATTTTATAAGTACATGTTTCCAGGCTTTTTGAAAAGCTATACTTCAGCATGGGTACCAGGTCTGACTTGCAGTACACCCCCACCCCCCTGGGGACACTGCCAAAGTACACAGGGATAGTAGCGGGTAGTCGACACGACAAACAAGTACAGTGCACGTTTAAATCTACATGCAATAGGCTGAATACCGTAGATCAAGACTGATCGAATGACTTCAGCTGTCGAACTTTGATACCTCGTCCCGGGCGGATGAGTCGTTCATTGAATCAGCCATGGTTTACAGTTCCATGCCGGATCAGCTGACGTCGGATCTTGAGCGTCCCGACAAAACACACTGTTTACAAAGTCCCTTCCCTCTCCCAGTGCAAAACACATCTCACTCACCTGTTCAAGAGCGCCTGCAGTGTCATTTGTTATATTTCGGTGATCGCAGATGGGAACTTAGTTGGCCTACTTCTTCCTAACCGATTCGCCTGCTTGGTGCATTGGTTCAAAGGTCAAACGGCTATTGGTGACGCGCAGCGCCCTCTTTGATGGATCGACGCTTAACAATTGTGGTATTAGGTTTGTTTTTATTTCGATAACCACTTTTGATCTAAACAGCGGGGAAAGTTTCCCACGTTTTTCGTGCAATGAGGTGTTCGTATACAAGGGATTTCAATGCAAAATTGTATTACCGATTGGCTCAATGGTAACCAAGCGGATCGTTTGGCTGCAAAAGTTTGTTATTTTTCTGAAAAACCCGTTTTTTCAACTTGTCTCTTTATTTAGGATAGAATATTGTATTTGAAATCGACACAAAAACAAAACTTATGCAAAGTTGAAAGCGCAGCTAAAATTAATCCAAGTCAAGAATAAAAATCTCTAATATGCTAGAAATATGTCATTCCTAAAAAAAACCCACAAAAGTGAATAACTCCTTAACAAAATAACTGCAAGGAATGCCTTTGTTTAGTTTCAAGCAGTGCTCAAGATGACTGTCACCTTATAGTAAATATCGAACTTGTATAGTTAATCACATATTATAATATCTTATCATCACTTGTACGCTTCCCCAATACATCTGAGACTTGCTGTAAATCTACCTGGAGTTAATGATGAAGATTTTGACTTCAACTATGTTCCAATAATACTTTAAACCCCGTAAATTAAGGTGGTACGTAATTATATTGTAATGAAATGTGCATATTTGTTGTGACCATTTCTGTTTCTTCATTGTAAAAGTCATTGACGACGCAAATAATTTCGTAATTTCATTTCCCTTCAAAGACGTAATAACCCTCTCAATCTGCCACATGGTGAATTAAATTGTCATCATGTTCGTACTCTTTTCCAAGGGGGATGCTCGCGTAAGCGTCCACTCCTAAAAAAATCACGATTTTCTGAGTTCGGGACACTGGGCGCTAACGCGGTCTAACGGTAGTTTCGTAAACGAGTTTCGTTTTCGATAATTTTTGTGGGAAATGGACGAGCTACATGAACATATCAAATATATTTCGACGCATAATTTTGGAGCAAAACGTTTGGAGCAACGTTTTAGCACATATGTCAGAATACACGTAAAAACTGTTCACAAATTAATTTACTACACGATTATAACAAGGGCGCCCGACACAAATATGCTACCTTAACTTTTATAGAAATATGCGTAAATTCAATGCCCCTTAATTAGTCGAACGGGTTTACGCTACGGGGGTCATTTAAGGGTCGTACACGGACTAAAAATGTTACTGCACATCAGTTGAAACGATAACTTGAAATCCACAATTTGTTTGTTAATCCAGTGTCAATGATTGTTCGTTTTATTGCATTTGCTGAAATGTATCGATGTCTATATGCCCTGGGTAGACCTCGTTACAATGGGACACCTGCCTGCGTCGACCGTGCGTGTTATGCGTTTAAACCGCCTCATGACAATACATTGAATCGTACGAAACAGTTGAGAATAAGTTTATACGTACATTGGATAGGCTAGCCCGATAATATTTCTTCAGCTCGTAACAAAATATTTTTCTTCTTTTTTGAACTTCTAATATTTGTTGCGAATGGTGTGAACGTGTGTGAATGAAAAGTCATTTTGCTTATGTTATGTCCCCGAACATTCGAATAAACAGCTACGTGTGATCAATTCGCAAACACTCCGCCGACGACATTTTTTGTAATGAATTAGAGGCAGTAGATAGTGTTGTACAAGGTCGTTTTTACAGTACAGACATTCAAAATTGTTCAATACTTCATTTTTAGCCACAACAACGCCTTAGCTAATGTCTAACTTGATGGCATGTAAATCAGGGATATATAGTATGATTGTATCTCAATTTACATAACCTACGAGTGGAGTATTTCGGTTGAATTGGTTTCACATTCATTGCGTTTAATTATAACTGACCTTTAGCAGTTGATGAAATAAAGTGAGGCGTACATAGTACATGAATAAATTAACGGTATAAATAAAACTATGCAATCACCGTGTTGCCCTGCGAAATAAATTACACGTATTGTACAGGTAAAAAAGTGCAAAAGGGCATAGAAATGTCGGGAAAACATACATCCTGAGATGTATTTGATATTTTTAGTATAGTACATTCAGTTTGTGAGAGCTTATATACATTATGAAAACTAAAACTAGTTTGACTGAAAACGTAGGCATTGCAATACGTATATTCTATGACATGTGTGCTATCACGGGGAATTCTTCTCTTCTCAGGGTTCTCCGCACGTGTCAGGGGGAATCTCGTCTCGTCTCTCTATCGCGTCCCCTTGAGGTACGGGATCGGGAAAGTCACTTAAACTTTACAGTCAAATAGACGCACACAACAAAATACGTTTCAACTCTCGTCTTAGTCGGTCAGTCGAGCACTCTATAAGACACGGCGCCCTGGGGAGAAGTCCCCAAGACTATCGCAAGGCTGACCTAAGACTAGCCCAAGACTAGACTCTAGACTCGTCAAGACTCTCTCTAGACTGCGTCTGTCCTGGTGTACTCGCCAAGACCAACTAAAACAACTTTATTCACTTTCAAAACCTTAACCAATTACAAAGCAGTATAAAGACTATAGGGCGTAACCTTCAATCATACAGCCAATCACACTAAGTACTGAACACGTCATATCTTTTGATTAATCGTTCACTACATCAATGACTGCGAATACTAACTGTCGGAAATAGTAGTCCGAATAGCGACGGTTATCTCGTAATTAGTTCAAAATCACTGAGTCGAGTTGCGTCCAGAACCTCGCCTAAACAATGACAGACATAACACAGCCATTCACTCGTAGTCAACTAATTAAGTCGATTAACAGATACGCAAAAACAAATTCATCACAGTGCTAACAACGCGCTTACTGGCGCCAAAGAGACCCCCAAAGCATTTTGTCGGGATATATTGGATATTTTCGCATAGTTCATCCATTTGTGAACATTTCCCAGCACATATTATCGAAAACAAAACTAGTTTGCAAAACTAACAACTTTTGTGTCTAAAAATCTACTCTAATAAATCATTGTGGTGGAACAATGTTAGTGTTTTAAATATAATTTTACTTAGAAACATTTCCAAAATTAACTCAAATTTCTCAAGTCATACATATTTTAATAAACTCTTCGCTACTTTCCCCAGCATCCACTGAAAATAACAATTGTTAGAGCTTCGTCCTAGTTGCAATTGACTTCCACGGCGAAGTAAAAAAATTGCAACGCTAATTGATATGGGCAATGTTAGTGGTAAAATTATAGAGGGGAGGCCCACTTTGCGTCTCTGCTTACCCTCAAATTGAATCCATATGTAACTAAATATTACAGAAACGATTCTAGGCTACAACTATGACAATGATATGTTTACGTGTGCAAATTCCGTTCATTTGGGTCCACAAAACAAAATCTTGTTCCTGTGATTTGTGTCTGAAAACCTTAGACAACTTTCGTTTTGCCTGAAGGGTGGAACCGAAGACCGAAAACTTTTTTTTTGTCAAAAAGCTAAAACGTTTATGCTCATCTGTCCTTATTAGTCCTTTAAACGCATTTATAGTACAGAAACTTGAAAGAAAATATTGCTGTGGGTGCGGTTTGGTATAGATACAGTAACAATTCTCTGCTCGAAATCTCGCGGTGTGCGAAAAAGTAACCCAACCTGATTGTTCGAGTTGTAAAGTTATAACAACCGGTGAGATCGTTATAAGTCAGTTAACTGCAACCCTCTATCCGTCAGCATCAGGTATTCTAGGGAGTATGCCGACACAATGCTAATTGGAGCGAGTTAATATTTGTTGTAGGTTACACTCGAAAATAGTACTTTCTGGGAGCTGACACTACTTTTAAATTTGGGCTTGTGAATTATGCTACGAGTTAGTTTGTAATATTGAGAAAATTATCGAAAAACTTGTAAATCACTGATTATTGACAATTTGATTTTTCGACCATAAAGTACTTGCTGACTGAAAGGTCATTTGCTCTCGAGAGTCGTTAACACAACATTAGACTATGATAAACTAAAAAGATAAATGTTATGGCCAAAACATACTTATTTGACATTCATGCTGCACATTAGAGTGCCACCTATGGTTGCATTAGAGGCAAGACAGAAAGTAGATACCGAACAAACAAACAGCACACCAGGTGTTGATGTAAACACTTCAAAAGACTGGAAAGTTTACAGTTTACAAGCAATCGGAAGTGTGTTTGATAACCGGGTAGATCTTCAAGTACGGTGAGAATCAATTTACTCAGATTAATCTTGTTTTATTTTAAAGTCGCCGATCAGAATCTCATCGACGATGCAAAAACATGTTGCAAGCAACGTTAGGTGACCACGCTTTCACTTAGCAATCACAGCCAGACTGCCTAGCTGTGGAATCATAGCCCCCTGAGAACAGTTTTTGGTTGTCGGTATCTGGCTGGCCCGCAGTGGGCTATGGAGCCGATGGACCTGAAATGTGTTTAAAATCCACGGTCCAAATCTGGTCGCCGCGAAAACTAAGTTCTAAGCCATTCTTTCAACATTAAAAGTTGAGATAGCTGTTCGCCTCGAAAAAACACTGGAGGGAGCCATTTTTACTTATCTCGTTTGTTTGTCACGTGGCGCATTTCATTCCAGTGTGGCTAAGAATTGTGGGATATTAATGGCTGCCGTCATCTCATCAAACACTGTTGTTTCCTCCAGAGTTCAAGTTCAAGACGAACATCCTTTCTTTCTCCCAATGCTCCCTCTAAGACTAGAAATCATGTGATATAAGAGTCTTTACTGGGAAGGTCCCTTAGTTAGGCATGGGTATGGATGGTGGAAGGGTAGAACTAATTCCAATTAGTTCCAATATTTGACTAATCCAACCTATAAAGTGTTCTATAGGGCTGATTTCACATGTGTAGTTCCTACCAATGATAGTCAACTTGGTTTCCCCATTAGTGTTCTCTGTGCACAATGCAGGTTTTCCAGTTATCTTATGCTTCGCGGTACTACTCATTTTACCTAAAGTAGAAACCTTAATCATGGGAGCTCGGGATAACAGGGAATTTTTAGGATGGATAACGAGGGACCTCCTGCCATCCAGCAGTCTGGATTCAACAGTGGGACATCAGCCTCCTTCCTTGTGAAATTCAAAACACAAAACCCAGTTTATGGGTAATATAGAGGCTTTATGGAGGCTAATCTAATTTATCACACATACATTTGGGACCAAGACTTTCTTCATAACAATATGTCATGGTTAAAAATGGCTAACACACAAAACAACTTGACCCCATAACACAGAAGCACAACAAAATGCAACAAACAATCATCCCAATATGTACAATGAATGGCATTATGTGATATGGTGCTGATGATCAATCACTGGATGACATAACTTTTGTATGCATTGATGTCATTTATTCTGTATATAGTATCAAACAATATTACAACTTACTACTCACTTGAAATGGTGAGAATTACATTGAAGTTGAATATAATGACGATAAGAAAACAAGTCATTGAAAATGACACAGTCCCCGTTAAGTTCTCTTTGTGCTCGTCATATTAAAGCGGAGGGGTTGTCGCGAGCATGTCCTTGAAACTTGAGTTCCAAGTGGCGTATACAACAGATTGTTTATTTACATCAAAACACGTGTTTCGTGTCATAGTAATATAGCCAATATAAAAACAACCGTTATTCAGCCATCTTTGATCTGATTATGAAACACACTGATATGTATGATGTATGTGCCAAATACGAATGAAAATGGTACATAAATTGTGGAAATATAGTAGTAAGGCCAAAAAGTCAGATGGCTGTCAATCGGCCATCCTTGACCAGATTTTGAAATTGTCATGGACATGCATCCTAACATGTATAAAGGACATGTATGTGCCAAATTTGAATGAAAACTGACAGAGCACGTCCAAGATACCGCATAAAAAAACAAGATGCCTGCCAGGCGACCATCTTTGATCCAATTGCGAAATAAATCGTCATGGACATGTATCCTAACATGTATAATCTATGTACCAAGTTTGAATGACAACGCATGTCCAAAATACAACATTTTCAAAAAACAAGATGGCTGCCAGTCGGTCATTTTGAATCGAATTGCTAAACCACTGCATGTGCATATGTCCCACATAAGGTACTAGGCACATGCAAAGAATGAACGGAATCAGTCCACAGGATCTGAAA